TGTGTAAAAGCGTCTGTGCGTAAAAGACTCTGTGTGTAAAAGCGTCTGTGTGTAAAAGCGTTTGTGTGTAAAAGCGTCTGTGTGTAAAAGCGTCTGTGTGTAAAAGCGTCTGTGTGTAAAAGCGTCTGTGTGTAAAAGCGTCTGTGTGTAAAAACAGCTGTGTGTAAAAGCGCCTGTGTGTAAAAGCGTCTGTGTGTAAAAGCTTCTGTGTGTAAAAGTGTTTGTATGTAAAAGTGTCTGTGTGTACAAGCTTCTGTGTGTAAAAGCTTCTGTGTGTAAAAGCGTCTGTGTGTAAAAGTCTCTCTGTGTAAAAGTGTTTGTGTGTAAAAGTGTTTGTGTGTAAAATCGTCTGTGTAAGAGCGTCTGTGTGTAAAAATCTCTGTGTGTAAAAGTCTCTGTGTGTAAAAATCTCTGTGTGTAAACGTGTTTGTGTGTAAAATCGTCTGCGGGTAAAAGCCTCTGTGTGTAAAAGTCTCTGTGTGTAAAAGTCTCTGTGTGTAAAAGTGTTTGTGTGTAAAAGTGTTTGGGTGCAAAATCGTCTGTGTGTAAAAGCGTCTGTGTGTAAAAAGCGTCTGTGTGTAAAAGTCTCTGTGTGCAAAAGCGTCTGTGTGCAAAATCGTCTGTGTGTAAAAGCGTCTGTGTGTAAAAAGCGTCTGTGTGTAAAAGTCTCTGTGCAAAAGCGTCTGTCTGTAAAAAGTTCTGTGTATGAAAAACTTTACAAAAATACGATGCAAACTATTGTCTTGTACTAGTCATATATTGTCTTGATACTACTCTTCTCGTCTGCCTATAATACATCTGTAATATATTATCTTGTAATATAGTGTCTCCATACTAGCAACAGAAGACTCTGCTCCTCTACGCTCTCGGGCCATCCGTCGTTTAGTTTTAGCTTGTGAATCCTTCACATGCAAAGGTGCAGTAGAGTCTTCATGACTTCAAGCATATTAATAAACATGGCCATGCCTTAGATGACTATATTCCGCCGTATGAATCAATCGCTCGCCCATTCTATTCGCTGCTTTTTGGGCGCTCTGCGGCATGTTCATGCCCTGGCCTGGCCCGCATAGAAGCCCCGAAAACAACATAGACCAACAGCTGGCCAAGAAATACGTATCATACGTGAACAACCTCCAAACACATTGCAACTCTGCGGCAAGCCTGGTATGACCACTTTTGCGGAAGGCCCATTGCAAGGGCCCCAACTTCAGCCTCGCCCAAGCACAGACGGTAACAGTATGCGTGAATGCGCCTCAAATCCGTGTTTCATGCCAAACACACTTTTTAAAAGGAATCCTAAAAGAAAGTCAACAATGCCAGAAGTGAGAAAAACTACTGACAAATCACTACCGCAACCTTGATGCAGCCACTCCAATACAATTCACGACCCTCAGCTGCAAAAGGCAATGGTATTCCGCAAACAGCCGCGGCAGCAAGAAACATCGATGGAGCCACTACAGTCCGACCCGCAGAGACTGAGTCGCAAAGCAGCAAAGAACTATGCACAATGGCGCCGGAAATTGCAGGTCCAAACTGTCCAAACCCGAATCTCGGCGCCACAGCCCCCCCCCAAAAAATTGAAACACTTTGCAAAAGGAATTTTAAAACGAAAATCACCAGCGCCAAAATTGAGAAAAGCTACTCACAAATCACTATCGCAACCTTGATGCAGCCACTCCAATACGATTCACGACCCCCAGCTGCAAAAGACAATGAATGGTATTACACAAACAGCCGCGGCAGCGAGAAACCTTGATGGAACCATTACAGTCCGATCTGCAGAGACTGAGTTGCAAAGCAGCATAGAACTATGCGCAGTGGCGCCGGAAATTGCAGGTCCAAGCCCGAATCTTGGTGCCACAGCCCAAAAAAAAAGATTCTGAAGCACTTTGTAAAAGGAATCTTAAAACGAAAATCACCAGCGCCAAGATTGAGAAAACCTGGTGGTAAATCACTATCGGAACCTTGCTGCAGCCATTCGAATACGATTTACGATGCCCAGCTGCAAAACACAATAGTATATTGCGTGCGCAGCCGCAGCTGTGAAGAACCTTCATGCAGCCATGACATTGCGTTTTGCAGCACCACGCACATGCCACGCAAAAGCGGCGGAGACCAAGGGACACGGGAGGGACGCCGGAGGGACGCCAGGGCGTACATCCGACCCCTTGGCAGTGCACATTGTCCCACGCCTGCCACGCAAAAGCGGCGGAGGCCAAGGGACACCGGAGGGACGCCGGAGGGACGCCAGGGCGTACATCCGACCCCTTGGCAGTGCACATTGTCCCACGCCTGCCACACAAAAGCAGCGGAGACCAAGGGACACTGGAGGGACGCCGGAGGGACGCCAGGGCGTACATTCGACCCCCTGGCAGTGCATATTGCCCCACGCCTGCCACGCAAAAGCGGCGGAGACCAAGGGACACCGGAGGGACGCCGGAGGGACGCCAGGGCGTACATCCGACCCCCTTGGCAGTGCACATTGCCCCACGCCTGCCACGCAACACCATGTGAAACAGCTCCTACCCGAAGTTCTTCCAATTTGGCAGCCCATGCAACTTCTCGATCATCCACCTACAGCATCCAACACAGTGCCACCACAAAAAAAACACCCATCCTACAAGATTGCACCATGTGACGAACATTCAACTTCTAGCAAAAATACAAATTTGATTAGAACCAATTTTTGACGCACCCAACCTCCCGTGATGGCGCCAAGACTTTCATCAACGCGTCGCGGAGCAGCCAGGGGCCGAAGCTCATCTCTGAATAGTTCCGACAGAGCACTACGGAGCCATTCCACACCATGTGAAACAGCTCCTACGCGAAGTTCTTCCAATTTGGCAGCCCATGCAACTTCTGGATCATCCACCTACAGCATCCAACACAGTGCCACCACAAAAAAAAACACATGTGACGAACATTCAACTTCTAGCAAAAATACAAATTTGATTAGAACCAATTTTTGACGCACCCAACCTCCCTTGATGGCGCCAAGACTTTCATCAACGCGTCGCGGAGCTGTGCTACAGTGAGCCATTTGTTGTCGGGTCGTGTCTCCACACCACCTGCAGCAGCCAGGGGCCGAAGCTCATCTCTGAATAGTTCCGACAGAGCACTACGGAGCCACTCCACACCATGTGAAACAGCTCCTACGCGAAGTTCTTCCAATTTGGCAGCCGATCCAACTTCCTACAGGCAGCGCTCATCCGACAACATTGAACCATGTAACAAACATTCAATTTTCGTCATATCCTTTTTCTGCCACACCCGACCTGCGTTGGGGGTGCCAAGACTTCCAACAATCGAGCGCGCAGCTCTCCAACCGCGAGCCACTTCTTGTCCGGTCCACGGCCAACATTCCGAGCACTTGCCATTTTGCGAAGCTCCAGTGCGGAAATTTCTTCCAGGGCCCCCTGGAGCCATTCACGGCCCCTGGTCACACTACTGCTACGCAGCTCCTGCAACCGAATTTCCACGGCATTGGACGACGCGGTCGCCTGCTCCATTCGCACGGACAATCCCTTCAGCAAATGAAACAGTGACCGCAATGCTTTCACAAGTGTCACGGGTGCGCCACTTGAACCAAACAATTTGCATGCAGATAATGCTCACTAGCAAGCATGTTCACCGTCAATCTCTGTCATTTCCATGTTGTCCACCAAGAACAAAAGCCGCAACACAAACAAAGTTCCAAAAATGTACATCGTGACTGCCATCATCATCCTCACTGCAACTAAGCAACCGAGCTCCACACATTGCCAGCGCTGGTGCTATCAATCATCCATCCTCAGCCGATGTCCAACAGTTCTGTATTGTCGTGCTAAACACAAATCAATCCTCGCAGAACTCAATTTTCAATGCAACCGTTCCATGTCCACGGACAGCCCCTACAGAGCATGGAGCAATCACAAAGCACAATCTCCAAAGAATCAGTGCAAGACCATATCCACAGAAAAAAAGATGTCACGAGCATTACTTTCAAGGCATCTCTGCATTCACTTGAGGCTCCGACCAAACGATTCTTTTGTAGAAGATGCAGTTGAATGCCGCTCGCACAGACTTGTGCGGTAAAACTCCATGCTTGAATTGGAACAATCAGAAAACACAATCTCCAAAGAATGAATGCAACACCATGTCCACAGAGACAGAACATGGAACAATCACAAAACACAATCTCCAAAAAATGCATGCAGGACCATATCCACAGAAGAAAGATGTCGACAGCATTGCTTTAAATGCATATCTGTATCCACTTGAGGCTCCGACCAGAGAACGTGGTTGCACAAACTCCATACTTGAATCCCACGGGACTGTATGATCCGACTAAAGACAAATCAATCCTCGCAGTCACATACCACCTCAACAGAAAACAGAAATCAATTTGCAATCCAACCGTTGCATCTCTCAATCGCAGACTTTTACACATAGACGCTTTTGCACACAGACGCTTTTACACACAGACACTTTTACACGCAGATGCTTTTGCACACAAACGCTTTTACACACAGACGCTTTTGCGCACAAACGCTTTTACACAAAGACGCCTTTACACACAGACGCTTTTACACACAGACACTTTTACACACAGACACCTTTACACACAGACGCTTTTACACACAGACACATTTACACACAGACACTTTTACACACAGACACTTTTACACACAGACCATTTTACTCACAGACACTTTTACACACAGAAGCTTTTAAACACAGAAGCTTTTACACACAGAAGCTTTTACACACAGACACCTCTACACACAGACCATTTTACACACAAACGCTTTTACACACAGACACTTTTACACACAGACTCCTTTACACACAGACGCTTTTGTACACAGAGGCTTTTACACACAGACACTTTTACACGCAGATGCTTTTGCACACAAACGCTTTTACACACAGACGCTTTTGCGCACAAACGCTTTTACACAAAGACTCCTTTACACACAGACGCTTTTACACACAGACACTTTTACACACAGACACCTTTACACACAGACGCTTTTACACACAGACACATTTACACACAGATCATTTTACACACAGACACTTTTACACACAGACCATTTTACACACAGACACTTTTACACACAGAAGCTTTTAAACACAGAAGCTTTTACACACAGAAGCTTTTACACACAGACACCTCTACACACAGGCCATTTTACACACAAACGCTTTTACACACAGACACTTTTACACACAGACTCCTTTACACACAGACGCTTTTGTACACAGAGGCTTTTACACACACAGAAGCTTTTAAACACAGAAGCTTTACACACAGAAGCTGTTACACACAGACGCTTCTGCACACAGACGCTTTTACACACAGATGCTTTTACACACAGACGCCTTTTACACACAGACACTTTCACACACAGACCATTTTACACACAGACACTTTTACACACAGACACTTTTACACGCAGATGCTTTTGCACACAAACACTTTTACACACAGAGGCTTTTACACGCAGACAACTTTACACACAGACGCTTTTACACACAGACGCTTTTACATACAGAAGCTTTTACACACAGAGGCTTTTAAACACAGAAGCTTTTACACACAGAGACCGGACCCGTGAAATCGCAATTTTTCCTCAGTTTTTGACGTCCAACGTCCATTTCGTGTGAAAAGGTTGCCCGTGACACCTCAAAATCGCAATTACACCTCAGTTTTTGACGTCCAACGTCCATTTCGTGCGAAAGGGTTGCGATGGACTAACTAGAATCGCAATTTTTCCTCAGTTTGACGTCCAACGTCCATTTCGCGCGAAAGGGTTGCGATGGACTAACTAGAATCGCAATTGTTCCTCAGTTTTTGACGTCCAACGTCCATTTCGTGCGAAAGGGTTGCAATGGACACCTCAAAATCGCAATTTCACCTCAGTTTTTGACGCCCAACGTCCATTTCGTGCGAAAGGGTTGCATTTGACTAACTAACATCGCAATTTTTCCTCAGTTTTGACGTCCAACGTCCATTTCGTGCGAAAGGGTTGCGCTCGACTAAGTAAAATCGCAATTTTACTTCAGTTTTTGACGTCCAACGTCCATTTCGTGCGAAAGGGTTGCGTTTCGTGGCGCTCCGGCGGCACCGCCCCCGCCTTAAGAGAGAGATAGAAAGAAGAGCGAGAGGAGATCTGCAGACGTGAAGGTGTGAAGATGTAGATCAGCAGGTGTGAAGGCGTGAAGATGTAGATCCGCAGGCGTGAAGGTGTGAAGATGCAGATCTGCAGATGTGAGGGTGTGAAGATGTAGATCAGCAGATGTGAAGGTGTGAAGATGTAGATCAGCAGGTCAGCAGATGTGAAGGTGTGAAGATGTAGATCAGCAGGTTTGAAGGTGTGAAGATGTAGATCAGCAGATGTGAAGGTGTGAAGATGTAGATCAGCAGATGTGAGAGTGTGAAGATGGAGGTCAGCAGATGTATATAACGGCTGCTTTTTTTACGAAGAACCCTTCGCAGGCGCTCTCGGGAAAAAGCTCTAAAAAGACGCAGAGGCGGCGTGTATGAATGTACACCTCACATTTAACAACCTTTGCAACTACTTGGCATATACACAAATAAAAGTAATAATAATGATAATAGCAAAAGTAATAGTAACAGTAACAGTAATGGTGACCGCAAAAGTAATAGTAGGCGAAATAGCATTAGTAATAGTAATACTTACAACAGTAAGCTGATTAAAAGGCGTGACAGGCACATGCACAGAACGTGCGTGCAGATTAACATGAATATGAGAAAGTATCTCACGCCCTCCTCGTCACATACAATGTCATTGAAATAAGCTTAATGTTGCAGTTCGGAAGACTGGTCTTTGATCAAGTTGTGAAATAATCAGATGAGAATGTACCTGGTCAACAAAACGCAATCAGATTCAAAGCCCAGCTGCTGAGCCTCCCAAAGTTGAAACCACTTCAAACACACAACCCATGGAACTTGTTCCCTCCAAACCCCACGTTTGCCCATGCTCATCAAATCCCCCCATATACTTCTCACCAAACGATGAACAAAAACACTGGCTATACTGTGCAATTTTGGCTTTAAGCTTTCAGGATTTAGGGTTTTGGTTTTAGGGTTGGTCTGTTTTGTTTTGTTTTGTTTTGTTTTTTTGCGTTTTGGGAGTTTGGGGTTTTAGGGTTTGTTGGTTTGCTGGGTTATCGTTTGAAAAGGTTAGCCCTACCAAAGGATTTGAGCATGTCAAAAGAATTGCGGGAATGGGTTTGCAGTCAAACTTGTTTCTGTGTGCCTGGGACAAAAATCAAAGTGATATGAGCCTGGAGATTCTGGTCTTTCCAATTCTGTGACTCACCGGTTTGGTCTCTGTGCGTGTTCTTCGAACTTCATCCCGTCTCATCCAATCTGTGGCTTGCGAACACCGCGCCAACTGCAACTAAGTTCCAAGCGCGCGGGACCCTTGTCCACAAGAACTCTTCTATGCAGCTCAAAACGAGCCTTTGCACACGCAGAACTGTTTTCGAGGCAACTGCATAAACCCCACAGCTCTAGGCTTGCATTGAAACAATGCGAAACTATAAAATACACCTGAAGGCCAAACCATCTTCGGAGCTGGACAGGGTTGAGCTGGATTGGCACTGTGCCTTAGTAAAAGCCTATGGCTATGATGTGCTGCTGCGAAACATCGAAATGAGGCCCAAACAAGAGGACTTCGCAGAATATGACATGAAGAAAGAAGAGCCTGACTCTTGGCGACGCAAAACCGGCACTGGCAGTGGCAGCCGCATTGCAAAACTGGTGCTGTGAGCGCATTCTACACGACCTCGTCTTCCACTTGCGACGCTGAAGATGACGACAAAGAAGAAACGGAAGAGAGCCTTTGCAAAGCCTGCAGCCAAAGTGCATCCACTTCAACCTATTGGCTAAGGCGACAGCATGAACTGCCGCACCTTGCAACTTTCTCTGCCGCCGAAAAAGGCGCCTCCGCAATTGGAAACTTGCTTGCCGGCTTGCTGCATGTACTGGAAGCATTTTTTCCCCAAAAAGTTTACTGTTGGGTTCTCAATGCTCTCTTTAGAGGTGTCCGGCTGTGTGCACGAGGTTGTGTTCGGCTCTCCGGATGTCTCCAATTCATGTGTCTCCCAGTCTGCCAATTCATGTGTCATGTGTCCCTTAGTCTCCCCGTGTAGCTGGGCGTCCGGCTACCCGGATGTGTCCAGTTCCTGTGTCTCCCAGTCTGGCAATTCACTCGTCTTCCATTTCATTTGTCTTTCAAGCTGGCTGGTGGTGGCGGGCTCTCCGGATGTCTGTCTTCACTTGTCTCCCAATTCACTTGCCCCCCTGTCTGGCTAGTGGTGCCCATCTCTCCGGATATCTATCTTCATAGGTCTCCCAATCCATGTGACTCCTCTCAGTCTGGCCGGTGGTGTCTGGCTCTCCGGATGTCGGTCTTTACTTGTCCCCCTATTTGTTTCCCCAGCCTGGCTGGTGGTGACCGGCTCTTTGCATGTCTGACTTCCCTTGTTTCCCAATTCATTTGTTTCCCAGCCTGGCTGGTGGTGTCCGGCTCTTTGGATGTCTCTCTTCGTTTGTCTCCCAATTCAAATTTGGTTCCCAGTGTGGCTCGTGGTGCCCAGCACTTGTCTCCCAATTCAATTTTTCTCTCAGTCTGGCCGGTGGTGTCCGGCTTTCCGGCTGTCTGTCTTACTGGTTTTCCACTTCACTTGCTTCCCATTCTGGCAGGTGGCATCCGGCTCTTTCGATATCTCTCTTCGCTTGTTTCCCAATGTGGCCGGTGTCTCCGGATGTTTGTCTTCACTGGCTGGTGGTATCCGGATCCCTTCATTGGAGTCCCCGTCTGGCTGGTGGTGCCCGGCTCCCCACTTGATTTTTTTCCCAGTTTGCCTTCTTTTTTTTTTCCTGTGTGCTTGTGGTGTCTGGCTTTGCGGGTGTCTCTCCTAACTTGTTTCCGTTCATTTGTCGCTGCTTTCTGGGTGTCTTTCTTTCACCGTCTCCCCCAGTGTGGCCAGTGGTGCCCAGCTCTCTGTGGATGTCCCCCTCTACTTGTTGTCCTTCATTCCCCAACAAGTTTATGGTTGGGCTTGTCAATTCTTTCATAAGACGTGTCCTCCTGTCAGCTGGTGGTGGTGACCGGCTCTCTTGATGTCTCTCTTTTCTTGTCCCTCTTTATTTGTCTCCCATCCCAGCTGTATACCTAGTGGTGCCCTCGTCTCCGGATCTCTCTCTTTACTTGTCTCCCGTAAGTTGCCGTCGGACGTCTCTCTTTCCTTGTTTTCCGTTATGACTCTCCCAGTGTGCTAGTGGTGCCCGGCCCTCCCTCTCTCTTTACTTGTCTCCCTTCATTTGTTGCCGGTTGTATCTTTTTCCTTGTTTCCCTTCATGTGTCACGCTCTGGCCCGGGGTGACCGGCACTTGTCTCATGTATTCGATTCCCGATCTGGTTGGTGGTGACCGGATGCCTGTTTCGCTTGTCTCCCAAATTGGTTTCCCAGTCTGGCTGGTGGCGTTCGGCTCTTTGGATGATCTGTCTTCACTTGTCGCCCAATTCATTTGTCCCCCGCCTGGCTAGTGGTGCCCAGCTGTCCGGATATCTCTCATTACTTGTCTCCCAGTGTGCCTAGTGGTGTCCGGCTCTTTGGATGTGCCTCTTCACTTTTCTCTCTTCATTTTTCTCCCACGCTGTCTAATGGTGTCGGACCCTCCGGGTGTCTTTTCTGTGCTTTCACTTGTCTCATCTCATCATGCGTGTCTCGCCATGCGTCTCCCAATTTATCCGTCTCCCGATTAGCTGGTCTCCAACCATCAATCTGCCTTAGTGGTGGCGTCTCCTGTTTGCCTGTGTGTGTGTGTCTTCAATCGTTTGCCTCTCACCTTCTTCCTCGTACTTCATCTGACTCTGAAGTCATTTGTCTCTAATCATGTGTCTGCCTTAGTGGCCGTGTCCTGTTCTAGTTTCATCACGATTGTATTTGTGTTTCGTTCCTGTATTTGCTTTTTACTCCCTTCGTGTCTTCTTGTTGTCTCAAAATATAATCATATTCCGCGATGTTTTTTTTTCGTTTTACCGTTGTACCACTTGTCTCCCACTTGTCTCCTGCGTTGTCCCCCCTCTTAGTGTGTCAGATACAAATATCGCGGCAAAAAAAACGAAATGGCGTGGCGTGAGAAAATGTTGCTTGTGAGTCGTGTTGTTCTCAATCTCAATTGACACGGATCCAAAAATTGCCAGCATCAGGAGCTAGTATAACCGCAAACATGCACACAGACGCTGCAATGGATATGAAATAAATTGAAGCCAATGTTTGGGGCCTACGGAGGTGTAATTCCTCCTTCCTTGACCTTGATTCTAGACGCCACTGTCAACCTGACCCATCAGACCCATTGCAATCACTTTTGCATCGCTAATAAGTGCGGCCGCTCGTATAGCCGCTGACGCCATCATGAGGTTTTAGTCCTTGTCATTATGCTGGTTGATCCTTCTTGTCCTTTCCCCGTCAGCATTGCCAATCACCACCAAGATTGTTCCCAACAGCAGGAAGCTGTTGGGTTTCAATCTCTAGAAGCAGGGGAGTGGTATCCCGATTTTTCCATCCTTAGCGATCGGAACGCAGCATGGTTCCGGGAACCTTGGAACCTTGGAACCTTGGAACCTTGTCTCCCACTTGTCTCCCACTTGTCTCCCACTTGTTTCCCACTTGTCTCCCACTTGTCCCCCGCTTGTCCCCCACTTTTCTCCCACTTGTCTCCCACTTGTCTCCCACTTGTCTCCCACTTGTCTCTCACTTGTCTCCCACTTGTCTCCCTTGTTCCCACTTGTCTAGACTTGTCCCCCACTTGTCTCCCACTTGTCTCCCACTTGTCCCGTCTCCGGCTTGTCTTGCTCTTGTCTCCTACTTGTCTCTCACTTGTCTCCCACTTGTCTCCCACTTGTCTGCCACTTGTCCCCCACTTGTCTCCCACTTGTCTCCCACTTTTCCACTTGTCTCCCACTTGTCTGCCACTTGACTGCCACTTGTCTCCCACTTGTCTCCCACTTGGCTTCCACTTGTCTCCCACTTGTCTCCCACTTGTCCCTCACTTGTCTCCCACTTGTCTCCCACTTGTCTCTCACTTGTCTCTCACTTGTCTCGCACTTGTCTCCCACTTGTCTCCCACTTGTCCCGTCTCCGGCTTGTCTTGCTCTTGTCTCCTACTTGTCTCTCACTTGTCTCCCACTTGTCTCCCACTTGTCTGCCACTCGTCCCCCACTTGTCTCCCACTTGTCTCCCACTTTTCCACTTGTCTCCCACTTGTCTGCAACTTGACTGCCACTTGTCTCCCACTTGTCTCCCACTTGGCTTCCACTTGTCTCCCACTTGTCTCCCACTTGTCCCTCACTGTCTCCCACTTGTCTCCCACTTGTCTCTCACTTGTCTCTCACTTGTCTCGCACTTGTCTCCCACTTGTCTCCCGCTTGTCTTCCACTTGTGTCCCACTTGTGTCCCACTTGTATTCCACTTGTCTTCCACCTGTCCTCCCACTTGTCTCCCACTTGTCTCCCTTTGTCTCCCACTTGTCTTCCATCTTTCTCCCACTTGTCTCCCACTTGTCTCCCACTTGTCTCCCCACTTGCCTCCCACTTGTCTTCCACCTGTCTCCCTCCCACTTGTCTTCTTGTGTGCCACTTGTCTCCTACCTGTCCCACTTGAATCCCACTTGTCTCCCCGACTTGTCTCCCACTTGTCTCCCATTTGTCTTCCACTTGTCTCGCACTTGTCTTCCCCTTGTCTTCCACTTGTCTTCATTGGCCTCCCACTTGTCTCTCACTTGTCTCGCACTTGTCTGTCACTTGTCTCCCACTTGTCTCCCACTTGTCTTCCACTTGCCTCCCACTTGTCTCCCACTTGTCTCCAGCTTGTCACCCCACTTGTCTCCCACTTGTCCCCCACTTGTCTTCCACTTGTCTTCATTGGTCTCCCACTTGTCTCCCACTTGTCTGCCACTTGCCTGCCACTTGACTGCCACTTGTCTCCCACTTGTCTCCCACTTGGCTTCCACTTGTCTCCCACTTGTCTCCCACTTATCCCTCACTTGTCTCCCACTTGTCTCCCACTTGTCTCCCACTTGTCTCTCACTTGTCTCTCACTTGTCTCCCACTTGTCTCGCACTTGTCTCCCACTTGTCTCCCACTTGTCTCCCACTTGTCTTCCACTTGTGTATCACTTGTGTCCCACTTGTATTCCACTTGTCTTTCACTTGTCTCCCACTTGTCTCCCACTTGTCTGCCACTTGTGAGCCACTTCTCTTCCACTTGTCCCCCACTTGCCTCCCCCTTGTTCCACTTGTCTTCCGCTTGTCACCCACTTGTCTACCACTTGTCTTACACTTGTCTTCCACATGTCTTCATTGGCCTCCCCCTTGTCTCCCACTTGTCTGCCACTTGTCTGCCACTTGCCTCCCACTTGTCTCCCACTTGTCTCTCACTTTTCTCCCACTTGTCTCCCACTTGTCTCCCACTTGTCTGCGACTTGTCTGCCACTTGTCTCCCACTTGTCTTCCACTTGTTTCCTACCTGTCCCCCACCTGTCCCCCACTTGTCTTCCGCTTGTCTCCCACTTGTCTCTCACTTGTCTAGACTTGTCTCCCACTTGTCTCCCACTTGTCTAGACTTGTCTCCCACTTGTCTTCCGCTTGACCCCCACTTGTCTCCCACTTGTCTCCCACTTGTCTTCCATCTATCTCCCACTTGTCTCCCACTTGTCTAGCCTTGTCTCCCACTCGTCATCTCCCACTTGTCTTCCACTTGTCTGCCACTTGTCTCCCACTTGGTCTGCCACCTGTCTCCCACTTGTCTTCTTGTCTTCCACTTGTCTCCTACCTGTCCCACTTCAATCCCACTTGTCTCTCCCACTTGTCTCCCACTTGTCTTCCACTTGTCTCCCCCACCTGTCTCTCCCACTTGTCTCCTACTCGTCTCCCACTTGTCTTCCACTTGTCTCCGACTTGCCTCCCGCCTCCCGCTTGTCTCCAACTTGTCACCCCACTTGTTCCTCACTTCTCCCTCACTTGTCTCCCTCTTTTCCACTTGTGTCGCACTTGTCTCTCACTTGTCTCCCACTTGTCTTCCACTTGTCCCTCGCTTGCCTTCCACTTGTCTCCTACTTGTCTCAGGCTTGTCTCCCACTTGTCTCGCACCTGTTTGCACTTCTCTCCGACTTGTCTCCCACTTGGCTTCCACTTGTCTCCCACTTGTCCCCCACTTGTGTCCCACTTGTCTTCCACCTGTCCTCCCACTTGTCTCCCACTTGTCTCCCACTTGTCTCCTACTTGTCTCCCACTTGTGTCTCACTTCTCTCCAGCTTGTCTCCCACTTGTCGTCTCCCACTTGTCTTCCACCTGTCTCCCACTTGTCTCCCACTTGTCTGTCACTTGTCTGTCACTTGTCTGCCACTTGTCTCCCACTTGTCTCCCATTTGTCTTCCACTTGTCTCGCACTTGTCTTCCACTTGTCTTCGACTTGTCTCCCACTTGTCCTCTCCCACTTCTTCCACTTAACTACCCACTTGTTGTTGCCCGCTTGTCTTCAACTTGTCTCCCGTTTGTCTGCCACTTGTCTGCCATTTGATCTGCCACCTGTCTCCTTGTCTTTCACTTGTCTCCTACCTGTCCCACTTGTCTCCCGCTTGTCCCTCCCGCTTGTTTCGTACCTGTCTTCCACTTGTCTTCCACTTGTCTCCCACTTGTCTTTCACTAGTCTTCCACTTGTCTCCCACTTGTCTCCCACTTGTCTCCCACTTGTCTGCCACTTGTCCCGCACTTGTCTCCCGCTTGTCTTCCATCTGTCTCCAACTTATCCCGCACTTGTTTCACTTGTCTCCTACCTGTCTGACTTGTCTCACATTTGTACCCCGCTTGTCTCCCACTTGTCTCCCCCTTGTTTTCCACTTGTCTCCCACTTGCCTCCCACTTGTCTCCAACTTGTCATACACTTGTCTTCTACATGTCTCCATTGGACTCCCCCTTGTCTCCCACTTGTCTGCCACTTGGTCTGCCACCTGTCTCCCACTTGTCTCCTTGTCTTCCACTTGTCTCCTACCTGTCCCACTTGTCTCCCACTTGTCCCTCCCACTTGTTTCGCACTTGTCTCCCACTTGTCTTCCACTTGTCTCCCACTTGTCTCTCACTTGTCTTCCACTTGTCTCCCATCTGTCTCCCACTTGTCTTCCACTTGTCTGTCACTTGTCTGTCACTTGTCTGCCACTTGTCTCCCTTTTGTCTCCCACTTGTCTCCCACTTGTCTTCCGCTTGTCTCCCACTTGTCTCCCACTTCGTGGAACTTTGCCTGCCGCGGCTTGTCTTCCATTTGTCTTCCTTTTGTCTCCCAGCTTAGCTTGTCTGCTACTGTGTCTCTTTCGTTGTCTGGCACCTTGTTCCCCAGCTTGTCTCCCAATCTGTCTCCCATTGTGTGAACATTGTTTGTCACCCTCAGACGTTGGAACCCTTGCTGCTGTTGAAATACAAAACTAGATTGATGATCATCCCTCTTTTATCGAACTATGTCAATGCCAATCATAATCAAGCACTAATGAACCCTACAACCCCTCATTCTTTGCCAAACTCACCTGCTTGAGCGAGCACTGCCATACAGCCGCAGCACTTTCCATGTGCCTGCAAGCAGGCTGGTAGGGCCAAGTCCCTGACCGGAAGTTCCCCCTCTTACATGCCTCTAGACAAATTCCTTCGTGCTTTGAAGCGCACCTTTGGCATTTGGCTGGGGTTCAGCCATTCTGCAGTAGCGGGGATCTGCATCGCCTCACCGTTGCCCCCGCTCCCTACTCCGCTTGTGGTTGGGTGGGTTTGGCTTGTGTAGGTTGTTGACTAGCATTGAGACGGCACTGCAAACCACAGTAATGCACCATGCTAACCCTTTGCCATGAAATCGGGCCCCTACTTCGTAAGGTATTCCATTTTGCAGCACACCTGTTTTCGAAGAAAGGCGATACACTGCACGTGCAAGGACGAAAATGCATTCAGCTCAAGTTTCTGTTGGTATAGATGCTGAGCTTGTTCTTTCAATGGGACACTGGGATAATGGGCCTGCTTTTTATTGGCCAGCACGACTTCTGGGTACGCCCGCGTATTAACAGATTGACGCATTGAATCCGTGTCATTTCCTCCCACAACAAAATCTGATGATGACATGAACACCTGTTCGTGAGCCTGAGATTCGTCGAGTCGCTCATGTGCAACCATATTCACTGCATTAATTGAATGGAAGCCATCCAAAAACTGCCACACAGGAAAACTTGGTTAAATTGTGTTATATATGACGTGCGTGGCTTCCAGTGCTTGGAAACAAGTTTAGCAAAGCGCTTGGGGTTTACTTGAAACACCTTGAAACAGAAATCCCTGTGCAGTGGAAAGCGACGTCTGAGACTCCCGCACTCGACACGTTCCCTGTCTTTGTCCTCGCCGTGAAGGGCACGCAGACCAAACTTGTGGAAACCTTTTGTGAGGCTTGATTAATGCCAAGAAGGCGTAGTCCATGCATGACCCAGCATGACCAAGCAGAGTCTGACACAAAGAGTACCGAAGTCATAAACATTAAGAAAGAAGCAAAACATTGAACTTGCCCAATCAGCGGCTTTGAATTCTGATTAACTTGGCCAAGGGAAGTTTAGGAGTCTATACATCCGCGAGTAGATTTTAAAATCAAAGCAAAGAGATGTCAAAGCAATGGGATGTCACAGCAAAGGGATGTCAAAGCAGTGGGATGCCACAGCAAAGGGATGTCAGAGGAAAGGGATGGCAAAGGAATGGAATGTCCCAGCAAAGGAATGTCAAAGCAAAGGGATGTCAAAGCGCAGGGATGTCAAAGCAACCGGCTGTCAAAGCAGTGGGATGTCAGAGCTTCAACTTTCACTTTTTGGGGAAACGTCTCGCGCCAAAACTTCGTTTTCACAGTGTCAACTTTCAGATTTTGAGGGAAAGTCTCGCACCAAAGCTTCGTTTTCACATCTTCCATCTTCACTTTTTGAGGGAGGCCTCGCCAGAAATGTGTCTTTAAACGTTAGCGGATGCACGAAATACTGTAATGTTTTACAAGGCAAAACGCGCCTCGGAAGATGGATGGGGAAGGTCTGCCGCGGGACCGTTCCGAGACGGTTCCGGCTGTACCGAAAACATTGGAGCGCGCCCGCAGTGTATAGCTTCAAATGCAGGCCTCGCTTTGCACAACTGGAACTTCAAAATTTGAAGGACATCTCGCACCAAAGCTTCGTTTTCACATCTTCAACTTTCAGATTTTGAGGGAAAGTCTCGCACCAAAGCTTCGTTTTCACATCTTCCATCATCACTTTTTGAGGGAGGCATCGGCAGAAATGTGTCTTTGAGAGTTCGCGGATGCACGAAATTAAATGCTTTGCAGGACAAAACGCGCCTCGGAAGATGGATGGGGACGGTCTGCCGCGGGACCGTTCCGAGACGGTTCCGGCTGTGCCGAAATAATGGTCGGATCAAAAGCGTCAGTGTAGCTACTGCTACAGGTGTCGTTTTGCACAGCTTGAGCTTCAAAATTTAAAGGATGTCTGGCACAAAAGCTATGTTTTCACATCTTCCACTTTCACTTTTTCAGGGAAGCCTCGCCGAAATGTGTGTTTGAGAGTTAGTGGGATGCACGAAATAATGTGTTTTGCAGGACCAATGGTGCCTTGGAAGATGGATGGGGAAGCTCTGCCGCGGGACGGTTGCGGGACGGTCCCGGCTGTACCGGGATCATGGTTGGATCAAAACCGCAGTGTAGCTTTATGAGTTGTTGTCCAGGCACAAGCCCATGAATGCCAAATGCAAAATCTATAGCCAAAAATGCATAATAAAAATGCATACTTACAGGCTGCAAATGTCAGAAATGCATATGTTCAAAACTTTCCACAAGGGGTTCAATTTTTGCTGATTACTCTAGATGCATGTGGGCCACCGTAGTTACACCTGCCAACTGCGCAGCCATAATAGTATCCCCGACATGCAAGTCACAAAATTGATCAAGCGGTTTTTGCACAAACATAATGCATCCAGACTGCTTGCTCTCAAGCATGGTATATACTATACGTGTTCAACGACACATGAAGATGCCCCAGAAACTTGCAATCGCATCCTGCGCCCCTGCCATACTGAGTTGTCTCTGCCCACAAGTCAAAACCCCCTAAGTCTGGATAGAACTGAGACCATGGAGATCCATGTCTTTTAGTGTTCCAGAATATGGAACACTTGGCTCAAGTTGAGACTGCAAAGCGGGTATTAGGATCTGTTGCCAAACTTGTTGAGTGACATTCAAATGGCGCAAAGAAAGCAAGCAGAGAAAAATCGCCACAGGACAGCTTTTGGGGAGACCGTGCAGATCAGGAAAGTTGGCCTGCCAGATCCATTATGCATTTTTGAACGGCCGTAAAAATAGCACGCAAAAAAATATGCATTTTCAATATGCGTTTTTGATAGCACGCAAAAAATATGCATTTTCAATATGCATTTTTGATGGCTCCAAGATTTTTCAGAAATATGCATTTTTCCATGGGAAAATGCATATTTTTTTTGCTTTTCGGCTGGCTGCAGAAAATGCATATTTCATATTTCGTTGATTTTGTCCAAAAACTAAGGGTTTTCATGGAATTATGCATTTTTGATGGTTCCAAGATTTTTCAGAAATATGCATTTTTCCATGGGAAAATGCATATTTTTTTTGCTTTTCGGCTGGCTGCAGAAAATGCATATTTCATATTTCGTTGATTTTGTCCAAAAACCAAGGTTTTCATGGAATTATGCATTTTTGATGGTTCCAAGATTTGTCAGAAATATGCATTTTTCCATGGGAAAATGCATATTTTTTTGCTTTTCGGCTGGCTGCAGAAAATAAATATTTCATATTTCGTTGGTTTTGTCAAAAAACTAAGGTTTTCATGGAATTATGCATTTTTGATGGTTCCAAGATTTTTCAGAAATATGCATTTTTCCATGGGAAAATGCATATTTGTTTGCTTTTCGGCTGGCTGCAGAAAATGCATATTTCATATTTCGTTGGTTGGGTTGGGTCCACCCCACACAAAGCCGCTAACCGGCACAAGGGAGGGGGATGGGGGGGGAGCACCCGGCGAAGGGGAGGGGGGGAGCGGGGGGGGACGGTTTTTCACTTGCCATATGCATTTTTGATGGCTCCAAGATTTTTCAGAAATATGCATTTTTCCATGGGAAAATGCATATTTTTTTGCTTTTCGGCTGGCTGCAGAAAATGCATAATTCCATATTTCTGGAAAAAATCTTGGAGCCTTGGAGCCATCAAAAATGCATAATTCCATGAAAACCTTGGTTTTTGGACAAAATCAACGAAATATGAAATATGCATTTTCTGCAGCCAGCCGAAAAGCAAAAACATATGCATTTCCCGATGGAAAAATGCATATTTCTGAAAAATCTTGGAACCATCAAAAATGCATAATTCCATGAAAACCTTAGTTTTTGGACAAAATCAACAAAATATGAAATATGCATTTTCTGCAGCCAGCCGAAAAGCAAAAAAATATGCATTTTCCCATGGAAAAATGCATATTTCTGAAAAATCTTGGAGCCATCAAAAATGCATATTGAAAATGCATATTTTTTGCGTGCTATCAAAAACGCATATTGAAAATGCATGTTTTTTGCGTGCTATTTTTACGGCCGTTCAAAAATGCATAATGGATCTGGCAGGCCAACTTTCCTGATCTGCACGGTCTCCCCAAAAGCCGTCCGGGGGTGATCTTTTGACCTATGTATTCTTAATTTTCAGCATGCGCACCATGATGCAAAGACTTTCTGAGTCCAAAAACTGCCAGGGAACATCACACAAACATCAAAGTCTGGATTGAAATAATGTGATTGAAACACGATTTCCATTTTTTGACCTGGTGCTGACGCGCAACTAACGAGTAGCACAACTGAACAATCCTAAATGATATACAGACATTCTTGACTCTTGAAAGGCTATCATTTTTCCTCAAGCATTTAGAGTAACATGCATTCAGTGGAGGGTACCTTCACAACATGCATCAACATAAATGCCCCTGATCAGAGCTCCTCTTGCCACATTTTTTTAGAATGTTGGTGAAGGAAACTTGCAAAAAATCAGAGAAGTCTGCCTGCATTTTTCCTGGGGCCCAAAGCGCATGTGCATGACCCTGTGCATGTTCTTTTGGTTGGCTTGAATCATATGCACGGCCCTATGCAAAATTTCCTTGTCTGCTTTGGGGCCCCAAAACTATATGCATTCCCAATCTGCAAATGTTATGCATTTTTGAATATATTGCTGGGGTACCCCTTGTGCCTAACAACAACTCATAAGTATGGAAAATGGTTTGATTTTCCATGTCACTAAACAAATTCAAATCCTCACGATGTTCTCCGTGCAATCAAAGTACTCAAAGAAGACGAAAAGTATATCGTTGTTGGGTTGACTCCGCATCATTTTGTGTCAAGGCGTGACACACCAACAAGAACCATAGCGACATGAGCAAGACATCTCTCCTTGTTGCTTGTGTGTGTGTGTGTAAAAGTGGTTGAGCTCTGGGAGTGGTTGACTTGGTTGCGTGGACGGTCTAGTGAGTTAAGGACGACGTCCTAGACGCTGACCCAAGTAGGTTTCGAAGGCTGGTCGCCTTCCGCATGGTAGCGGAGCTGCCTGCTTGCTGCGCGTAAGTAGGAATGGATTCAGGTAGTGCGAGCCAAGGTGTGCAAGGTTGTCCTAGTCCTGGTATGGCTGAAAGAGGTGAAGGTAATGGTACCGGAAATGGTGGTTGTAACCGTAGTGACGGATTGCCGCCAGTGCCAAGAACGCCTAGTCAGCAAGGTAGTGGATCTGGGATGGATGGACAAACACCTGAAGTAAGTAACATGCCCCAGCAGCAGCCACAACAACAACAAGCAAATGTGTCACAGAACGTACAGGGATTTGCGAGCACGACAAACCTGGATGCAGGTGGTCAGGTAGGTCCGGTGCAGGGATGTCAGCAAGGAAATGTCCCCGGAATGCAAGGACCGGGACCAGCATGGTTTGGTGCGCAATGGATTCCCCAACAACAAACGTTTATGCAACAGAATTCGCAAGTGCGTGTGCCAAGTTATGGCTGTGCGAGTATGCCTGGTGGACAAAAGTCTGGAGATTTTCCAAACTTAGGAGTGAACCCAATGAGTTGCCAAGGAAACATGCCGAGTGGCCCGGTTGGAGCGAGCTTGGGAGGTTTGACGCCTCAGGCGGCGCAGATCGAAGAGGTCATGGCCATGTTAGGTAGCATGAGTGAGGGACAGCTACAGACAGTGCAGCAGCATATGCAAGATCGTTTTGTAACTATGCAACAGAGAAGAGGGGTTCCAGAAGTGTTTGGTGATGGTCTTGGTAGGGCAGCTGATTCGTCGTTTGTGACTCCGCAGCCATTTGATGTTTTGCCTGGTTTTGGTGTTCAACAATCAAATCATGGAAATTGCGGAAGGCCGACAGCCTTCGAAACCTACTTGGGTCAGCGTCCAGGACGTCGTCCTTAACTCACTAAGACCGTCCACGCAACCAAGTCAACCACTCCCAGAGCTCAGCCACTTT